CCATGTCTTACATCTACTAGGGAGGGGGCAGAACTGGACGTAGCACGCCAGGCATGGCCTTAGTAGCGCTGAGAAGAAGGGAAAGATCCCCTCTCTTGACCTTCTGAGGACTTTGCATAATGAAGCCCAGGATTGGCCTTATTTGTGGCAAGGGTCCATTGCTGTCAGTGTTCAGCTTGGTGTCCACCTTGACTCTCAGCTTCTTTTTTGCCTTCCAGCTGGGCAACTCCCAGTGTGCCCTGGTATCTGGGGCTGGTCTTTATCTGATGCAGAATTTGTGCTTCACTGTGATGAACTTGCTGAGGTTTTAGTCAGACTATTTCTCCAGCCTGTCAAATTTCCTCTGGAGGGCAGCACAATCCACTGGTGTACCAGAGAATTAATCCAAGGTACATCCAGTCTGCTCAGCAAAAAAAGGAGAGATAGCTTGAGATTTAAATGGAACACAGAGTTAGCCAAATGCAACACCAAAAGCGAGATGATATTTTAAAATAGTACAGAGAAGGGCAAAAAAAGCAAAAAATACAGAAACAAAATGGAAATAATAAAAACCTTGAAAAGTTCAAACTCAGAACCAGAGATAACTGGTAACTGCTTGACATTCTACTTTTTTAGAGGTCAAAATATTGATAGGCTATAGATTTGTGCCAATGGTTTATAGGTTTGCTCAAAATAAGTTTGAGCAAAGACATTCCTTCTGCTTGTTTGTGATTTTTCTAAACCTGATTCTGGAAACAACGTATTTGTTCACCGATCTTGAATTCTGATGCTTATCATTACCTTGAGCCTGCAGCTCAGATTTTTTGATGCAGTATCTTTTAGCTGAACTGATGTACTGGCAGGGGCTGGCAGGGCTGGGGCTGGACTAGTGGTGATGTTGCTGTCTGTGTTGAAGCTGTGATGTTATATCAATTTAAAAAAACATAAGAAACTGACCTTTTTCACAGGAACAAAAGGAAAATGCAAATTTCAGTAAAAGGAATGGAAATGTGCTTATTCTTGGCTGAGACATGAATACTGAGTGATCTCTGATATGCTACAACAGAACCCCAGCAAGCAGCATTATCTGCTGTTGTCCTGAGACCAGCACCACAGCACTCGGCATACAGCAGCTTTCTAGCATCATTTTTAGAAAGATGCCTTGTGAGAAAACATTGTAATGGTCTCTCATATTCAAAAATTGCAATTGGGCATTCAGCTTGGGGTCCTGTCAAGAGCTCTGCTGATGGTACATTAAATGTAGATGCAGTCCACGCCATTGAGGCAAATTCTATTCCAGATCCCAAGTATTTGTCTTTGGAGTGCTTCGATCACATGGTTACAGTGCCTTCCCCTGCTCTGATGTTACACTGGGCTCATGATTCAGGCTTAAAATTTTAAGTGACCCAGAAGTATTTTTTATATCCCCTCTCACAGTGCATTTTGAGTTTTGTCTTTGAAATACAGCCCCTAAGTACTTTTGGGCTCTTTTCTTTGTGTATCAAAATAAGCTAATAATAAGATAATAGGTTATCATCTGGTTCTTATACTGCATTTTCTGTATTTTATTTTGTTTTGCTTTTAATGGAAGCTGAGATTTTATGTAGTTTTGTGATTCCAACATCACAGATCATAGTACCAGTATGGAGTCAAGGACTGGGATACAACCCAAAAAGTGGAAGGAAGTGTAACCTTCTTCCTCATTCCCCCATTCTCTGAAAGTACAGAATGACCTTTTGTTTCCTGTTGCTGTTCCAACAAGAGCAACAACTGCACAGAGCTGTGGTTACAGAACCCTAATGTTAGAGATGAAGAGGAGCAATGGACACCGTCAGGACACTTTGTATTCTTACTGATAGTTACACAGTTAAGTGATAGTTAAGTTCACACTTAAATATAGCCATGTTCAAGTCAAGAAGTGCAAGACTGAAAAAAAGCATAACCATCTGTTGAACTGTTATCCAAAAATCTTGCTTCTGAATTAGTGCAAAATGTAGCCTGTATTCTGCAGTTCATTACCATTCATAATTTCAGCCAATTAAATTTTCTTCCCAGCATTTTATATTTGTTTTTTTTTTACATGTATTTGCAAGCATTCAATTTCTATATGTTTGTATTTTCAGATATATAAAATGGCCCCACATCTTTTTTCTTGTCCCTAGCCATTCTGTTTCAGAACAGCCAACAGTAAGCCAGCCAACAAAACAAATGAATAATTTTGGATCTGTTTGCTTTGAAAAAAAAATCAGCATGTCTGTGCATCAAAATGTAGCCAGTTCGGCTACCTTTCTCCTTTCCAAGAGAAATGATTACAAACTAGATCAAAGGGAAAAATCTTGTCCAAGCTTCTACTGTAGGTTCAGTTAGGAACCATAGTGTTCAGTTGAGATCTAAGACAGTATCAGTTACACCCTTTCTTTCCCCCATATCTTGTTTGATCTTGTCTTGTGATTGTTCATTGTAAATCTGAAGTCAGAAATGCCATTGATAAATCCAGGCAAACGACAGTGACTTGCAGTACATACAGTTCAGATTAGGTAAAGCTGAAGGGGGCACCAAACAAAATACAGTGTAATGGTTGAGAACACTGCTACTGTGAATTGTTTTTTAAAAATCTGATTGATTTACAAAAATTTAGTGTAAATACAATCAATGTCTTAAGGAACTATCTGTTCATTTATAGTCCAGCATGGAATATACGTTATGGGGAGAACAGTTTTAATTCAGTAAACTCATGCTTGTGCAGCCACAAAAGGAAACTTATTCTTAAACAGAGAGATGGGGACGTCTGGGGAGAGCTGCCCGCCCCAAGCTACAGGATGCTGCAAGGAGCCATTGCTGTCCTCAGCCTTCCAGCAGCTCCTAGGCTGCGTATCTGTCTCAGACCCTCTCCTTCCAGCCTCAGGACTGAGCTTTTCTTGAATTGCTACTTTCTGATTTTGAATGTGCTAAATTGCCTCAGCCATGGGTACCTCGTACGCCTGCAGGCTGACAGGATGAATATACTTGGGGGACGTTCCTCCACTTTCAGGCTCCCGTTTGGTGGTGTTGTGCTTCCTACCAATAGCAGTGTACATAAGGACTGCTGTTCGTCTGAAACTTTCTCTGTTTTCAGTCATAAATATGACTGACACAAAGCCCACTTTTAGAAATGTGCCTGGCAAGCTGTGTTGCCTCCCTTCTTCAGCATGAGCAAATTGGTTAAAACAGGTGTAGTCGGGGAAAACGAATGGATTTCTTAGTCCCTGACACCCCTACTTTACAGGTAAATGCTCTTGTGGTTTATATGCTTTTTCTGAGACCAAAGGGAATCTTCATGTGAAAGCTTCATGCCAAAGTACTGGCAGCAGAGCAATAGAAATAAAGCTGCAGTCTCATGATGATATCCTAATGGCTTTCTTTTTATTTTAAGATACTTTAGACTAATCCCCAAACTCAGCCCAATCACAGTCTCCAATGCAGCATTGTTTTCAGCTATTACCAGGTGGTTTTTAAAGCCCTCCTTAGATGATATGCGGGGCCCACATAGTGAAGTCAATTGTTAGACAGGATATAATTTAGACTTCAGCTCTTCCTCTCAGTTTGAAATAAAATGATTACATTTCAGGAGAGCCTAAGGGAAGATTAAAAGTTTTATATCAAAAGTTGAATATTTTCTTTTGTTGTGCACTCTTCTTTTAAAGGAAATGGTATTCATTTAAAATAATGCGTGTTCTGATGTATTTGAAAAGGCACTGCTCTGCATTAAAAAGAAATTCATAAAGTATGCATGTATGGGAGAGGAAGATTGCAATCTTCATTTGAGTGTTTAGTTAAAGGATTTCTACTCAACCCATTCTGCTTTGTTCCTAGAATGAGATGGCTATCTGCAAAGACACAGTGTAAATAACAGATGTCCCACAGTGTTTAGAGGGCAGCAGTTAATGTAACAAATTTTTGGGGGGGCTTCTCTACAGTCGGATTATGAAGTCAATGATAGCTTCTCTTTCAAACTGGAAAAAAAGGCCTTACCTATCTTTAAACTTGTTAGATATGGTTTGAGACAGTAAATCAACACACTTATACTTCTGGTAACTCCTGTGACACTTCTCATTTCTTATATTCTAAAGTTATCCAGGGGCAAAGGCCACTAGTAGGATATCAAGTTGTAAAGCTGATGCATGTGTTAAAAATAAATGGCATAGTACAGGTATGAGTAAAAAGTGAAGACATGGACAAAAAGATAAAGTTTTTATCCAGTACGACCAGATAGCTTTTACTGTTGGTATCAGAGGGGCTCTTTTTAGCGAAGATGCCCTAGGCACATTTGCAAGAAGGCACCAATTAAAGGAATTCCTTGAAGCTTCCTTAAAGCAAATGTATCTGTAGTGAAGCCTCTTATAAAAGTTCGCCTTCTCATCCAACTGAGCATACATTTTCTTCCAGAAGCCATCAGAAGAGCCTAAATACAGAACTGCAGCGGTTTACTGGCTTGCTTATTAGAATGAAGAGTGTAAAACCTGTTCCTGTTATCAAGGAGCTTGGTCACTGAACTGTTAAGTTAAAATTTTCTTGTGATATTATCACAGAAGAGATGAAATTATTTCACTATATTGTTTGTAATCTAGTTATTTATATGTTAAAGAAATGGATGCTACCGTCTTAAGGCAGCACTAGCGTAGTTTTATATTCATTTGTCTCATATAAGGGGTACTCATTTTACTCACCTGACATGGGAACCAAAGTCAATACCCCCCAGTTAGCCACCATGCTGCCCATTAAAAAGGCAGACAATTGTAAATATTAAGTTTAAATGCAGATTTAAGAAGGATAGAGGTTCACTGTGTTCAGTTCAGATTGGATGGGGCCCTGGGCAGCCTGGTCTAGCATTAAATGGGGAGGTTGGTGGCCCTGCATGTGGCAGGGGGGTTGGAGATTCATGATCCTTGAGGTCCCTTCCAACATGAGCCATTCTGTGATTCCATGTGATTCTGTGAGTTCTCTCTCAAAGGTTATGAGGTGTTAATGTGCTGTTATTCCAGATTTCTAGAAAACCTGATGTGATGTGGAAATTAAGACGACAGTTAATGGCTACTGAAGAAGAAGACGATTCCTCATATCCACCTCTGAATGTGACCACTGGAAATATGACGTGCATCCTTTTCTATGCTAGTAATTTTAGTCTTGTTGTCAATGGTTCAGTTTTAATAGAATTGACAAAAGCGACGTTTGTTACCCGGAGTGTGGATATTTCTTCCTCTACGTGCTCAGACGCCAACACAACGTGAGTAGAACAAGGAATTTTAAATTTCATGTACATATTGTTCTGGAAGTTAATAGAGCAAAGGAAAGAATAAAAACTTAATTTTCTTCTACTAACGCATACAAAATAAAAAAAATATTAAATTTAATATTCTTGTACAAAGAAGATTGAGTCAAGACCACAACAATTTTTCAGATGCCTCCTCTACATTTGCTCTTTTTTCCTTCTGCATTATTTAGTTGCTTGCTTGTTTATGTTTGGTCCAAATGGGTTTCTCTGTGCCCAATCTTGCCATCACAGAGATCTCCACTAGCATTAACGAGATTATTGTTTCATTGTAAAATTCCCTTGAAGTGCAGTATTGCCATGTGGTAGGTGGTACTTCAGTTGGAAATGCATTAATGAAACATGATCTCTGCTTTCATTTGTTTTGAAGCACCTGCTCTTGGTTTTTTTTTTTAAAAAAAGGCTATAGAAATATTTTGTCATATTTTTCTGTGTGCTTTCTGTACTGTGAACCTTTTCTACATGACTTTTGTAATTGCCTATTGATTTAGAATATTCCTTCTGATTGAAATGTCACAGTGATTTAATTAAGGCTGACTACTCTAACATTAAAAATCTTTTTCTTACTCTTAGACTGTCATTAAAATACACAAAGCCAGTGAATGGAATCAACAGCCTAGAGATAAGGTAACTTATGATTTATTCTTAAATAAATCTTTGTGATGTACAAAGCCCATTTGTAAGTTAAGACAAAGAAAAAAAGTGGTGAAAAGGTTATTAAAATCACGGTTTTGTTTTTTATTGCTGAGGAGTTATCATATACTAAGGAATATCTAAGCATGCTCAGGTAAAGTTCTGAAAAATAGTGTAAACAATCAATCATTCTGTAAGACAGTGGCACACGAAACATCTTATTTTGATGGTAGGATCAGAACAGGATTTCCCTTCTTAGGGAAATCAAACTTTAATTTAGAAATAGTTCTAGGAGCTGAAGTCCGCTTCCCTTGCCAGGCTTGTGTTTCAACCTGATATGGATTGCCAGTGTACTCTGTCAGAGTTAGCCTGTGGCTAATGAGGGCTGCAAAAACTGATAATTTTTCTGCTCTGTGGATGATGGCAAGAGGAAGCTTCTTCCACTGTAAGAAGGGAAGAGAATATATAATAGGGAAGAGAAAATAAGGAAACAGGAAGACTTGGGATGAAAACTCAAAGAGAAAACATGCTGCTTTTACTTTTGCTGGGGGACTCCAGGATAGCATCTGTACTGCTGTGAGAATTGCCATACAGCTACTGGTCCACTAACCTCAGTTCTTTCCTCAGCAGCAGGAACAGCAGTTAAATGTTTTCCGTCAGAGGCAATGTGGCCTGCTCTTTTCATTTCACTTTATCTCCTGCTTAAAGAGACAGTCATGTCATTTTAGGCCTCTACTAGCTCCCATAATACACTATTGCATGGTATATAATAGGTACTTAACAGAACCAGAACAGTCCATTGATCTTTTCATGATTCGGGAAGACTTTATTTACTTTGCTCATCCCAGCATGTCTGTTCTCAAGAACTAAAACCCACAGAGATACATTATAACTTCTGTTCTCCCCTTCTGGTTCATTTCAATTACATTTGCTGTTGAAGATGACTTCTTAGGAAGATTACATTCTGCCTCAGTAGACAGGACATGAGCAGGGCAAAGAGGTGAGAAGGAACAGAAGACAGAGCCATAACTGCATTATTTTTTCTCTGTAAAGGTCATTTAATAAAATAAAATGATACCAGACAGGACCATGGTTAAATAGCTCAATTTGTTTCTCTCTAAGCTCAATAAACTCTAACCTCAGCAGTGTAAACTCAATCCGAGCGTGTCCTTACCACCCCAAGCCTACCACGTTATGCTGAGCAGCTAGGCATATCCCACCTCCTATAAGCAGCTGCAATAGCTGTCTCTTCTTATGGAAACATGCCTCGCTCTTCCCTCTAGCAAGAGCAGTGGTCAGCCTCCTGCATTTGCCATTGAAGGATGAACTGTTTTCTGGCTGTGCTACTTCTCTGGAGAAAGGTACCAAACTGGACAGAAGTGCTAATGCTCTGTCTGGCATTAGCTGGATAGAGCTTCGTTTCTCTTTACTTAAATTTCTAAGAATGTGACTGCTGTTGTACAGCATGTATTAAATAGAATTGCTCCAGAAACTGTGGTGTAAAGTCTGGTACATATCAATTGTGCTTCTGTTGCAATCTTTGGAACAACAGTAATTCCATATAACTTCCTTTTCAGAAACATTTCTCCTTGCAGTGAATAGCCACGTGAGGTGGTGATCAGTAACAAGTAGCGACAGTTAGAGTTCACAGGGTTATCTGCCACAAAGGGAGTCTAGCAGGCAGCCAAGAACTGTTTGTGCCACAATACTTAAAGAGTATAATGGCTTTGTGAAAGTTTGCTTCCTGCATTGGCTGTAATGTTCAATGTGAGCACAGCATTTCCTGTAAAGGGCAAGATACATAGCCTTGTAAAACTTGTTTGTTCATGGAGTGTGTTTCCAAAGACCTTCCTTATTTTCACTTCCTTGCCTTCTAAGCCAAAGCACAGAGCACACTCAGCATTTGTGGCTGGCACAAGATTTAAGTATGTTTATGTATATATTGTATATTTATGTATATTTATAAAAGGCCATGTCTTTAAGTTGAAGAAGTTCTTTTAGTGCCTGCAGATGAAAATTCAGTTCAAATTGTGCTATATATCAGGAAAAGATTCTCACAACTAGTATCTCTGCTAATACATTTATAAGTTGTTATCATTATAACAATGGGGTAATTTTCCATATATTCTTGTATACTAGATGCAGTTCAAAGGGTGTGTTCTTTTTTCATTTTCAGTGAAAATGTTTATGGCTGAATATAGTGTGGAAGGAGCAGTTTAAGTTCAAGACAGGAATGACAAAAGACAGAACATCCTTTTTTCACCTGAATGACGCTTTGAGTTCTATGATTTTATGAAATTATATGAATCAAAACCCACTGATCATTAAAAAAACAAAACAAAACAAAACGAAAAAAAAAACAACCAAGAAAATTGCTCAATGTAGTGATTTTTTATTTTACCCCTAAGGAACATTGAAAGTATTGAGTGTAGACTTTCAATTGAATGGATGATATGCTACTGAAAGCAACTGATTTAAACAATCAATGGAGAGCACTATTACTCTGTATTGTGCCTCATTTATAGGTGACTGCGTATTTTTCAAACCTGTCATAATTGCATCTAATTATTACCCTAGATTTTAAAATCCACAGATAGTGGTGCCCATAGTGGTGTGGATAAACATTACAATATTTCATTTTGAATCAAGTCTGACTTATTGATAAACAGATAACTCTTATAAACTCCTTGTGGTTATATGACTCCACATATCCAGGAGAGATATAAATGTGCAAAACAAGTGGGGACTAAGTAAGAAGCAAAAAATAACAAGGAGAAAAGTTTATCATTTCCTGAAGAAATAATTTGATTACCTAAAAGCTACTGGGTAAAAATGGTAAAGATTTGGTCCTGGTATCTATAGATAAGAATTTACTTCTGTATATTCTCAGTTATTTTTCTTTCAGAACATTTGTTCATACTGCAGTGGTAGTAACACTTATTTAAATGCCACAGTTGTAAACTACTGGAAACCACTTTTTGCAAAATGAGAAAATATTCATTTGTGGCTAAACAGCTAGACATAGGAAAGTGTGGCTGACAACCCTTCCTCCCATCTAGTGAGAGAAAACTGTCTTTTACTGTAAATTCAGACATTTGCAAAGATAGACTGCAAGTTAAGCATCAGAATCAAGGAAGAATTACAACAAATCAAAATAGTTATCAGGGCTGTACCTATCATAAAAGCAATTTTTTTCAAAAAATCCCATAAATTGTTTATTGAGAGCCACTACAGGCCTATTGACAGTGTCTTTAAGTTCTGGTCCACTCATAAAGTGCTGGTAAGTGATGAGATACTGCATTGGTATAGGCCTTTGAAGAATGAAATCACATTTTCTTGCTCCTTGCCTGCCAAAGATGAGATGTGAGATGAAACCCCAAGAAGCAGTAGAAATGTTCACAAAGGCTATTCACTTATGAACAGTCCTGATGATGTGAGACACCAGCTGTGATGTACCTTTATTATTTGCCACCAGTGCTTTATAAAGTGAATGTTAATTTTTTCCTTCTGGCATTTGGACTTATTGTTTATTCTGTTGTCTTTCTAGGTTTTTAATGACCAATATGTTCTATGGAGGCTCAGCTAGAAATTGGTTCACTTTGGATTCAATTGAGATTGTACAAGATGAAGAAAAACTTGCTAAGTATAATGTATCTGTCATCTCTGCTCCTGCAGAGTACTCATTTCATTGTCAGCTGGTGGGAACAAGTACTCTCTATCCGGCAAGGCTGATTCCATCCAACATGGAAGCAATCAACTGGGATGTTTTCATTTCCAGGTTCCAAGTGAGTACACATTGCTGTTTCAGAGATAATTCCAAGAATTATTACTTGCTATTGTAGGTGCCGAACGACACAAATTCATAATGCCTTTACTTTCAATTTGACCTGAGGAAAAATGTAAAAGAAAATCTGTTCCCCCTAGGTGAGCTATTCAAAAAAGGGGTAAAAGAGATGGCAGTTGCTGAACAGTAAGAACGTGGAAGTGCAGCTGTGAAAAACAAAACCTCCAAAGTTGTCCTCAGAAAAGAAAAACCAATAAAACCAAATGCGCTTAATCAGGCAAAGAATGACTAAGTCTCCACGCCTGTTTAATGAATTGGGCTGCTGCTGGAAATGTGGACCTCTTAGGTGGGTGGCTTTATGCTGCTTACTTTGTTTTTATTTGATTTCTTTGCTCTTTGTTTACCTAGAAAAGTACAGCTTAGTGTGGTTACAGCCTTCAATGACACTGATAGTCTAAACTCCTACAGACAGAAACAATGCCCAGTAGAATTAAATGTAATGGAAGGTTGGAAGCCATGGATTTCAATCAGGAGAAATACTAGGTACCACATGGCCCAGAAGGAAAACGTTTTGCTGTTTGTTTTTTTTTTAAATGAAATACAGATCTTCCCTATATTTTGTGTAGATGCAGGTGGGCACTGATTTTCACTTAGGGAGAGGCACATTAGCAAACCGGACTCACCTTGTCAAAGATGAGCTGATCTCATAACCGAATACAAATGCTGGTAGAGTCATATTAATAATTTATCAAAAAATCTCAGTGATCTGAATTCACGTTTGACATTTCAGTTTAAACACTGAAATCTCAAAAGAATAGCATTGGTAGTAAGATTTACTTTCCTCCTACTACCGAGAGCTGCTGAGGTCTGTTGCAGATTTGGATTCTAAAAGAAGATGAAATGCAGGTTTAATATGTTTAGTCATCATTCAGCCACACAAAAACACTAGACCTAAGTATCTCTGGCAGCCTTCCTTTTGAATCACTGTTTTTATCTTCCTCTTTGCAGGCTCTAAGGTTAAGTCCCACAGTTTTTGAGAAGCAGTGCAGCAGTACATACCATTGTTGTGAAGGTTCCTCCTGATAGTGGTATTTTAAGGAAGGGCTTGAAAATGTCTGAGCCCATGCAACTGGGCCTTGTTTAGTCAAATATTTGAAGTGCAGAGCACAGATTTTGACATCACTGGTCTGTGATCTGTGAAAATTCATGGGTTGTGAAAATACAAAGGATCCACTTACAACAACCTGTCTTTTCCTAGAACTTCTATCTTCTCAAAGTGTAACAAGAGGTCTTCTTCCTTCTTTAGCAGGAATCCTTTCAGTCTAGTTTTAATAAGAGGAGAGGAAGTAGGTTACCTACCCCTCTTTATTCCTGTGGAGCAACAGCTGCTTCTACTTCCACTGTTCAGATAACTGAACTTTCCTTTGGAACAAGGCCTTCTTCTCTAATCAAGTCTTTGGTGTTAAAAACAGCCTGGAAAGTCTTATTCTGAACATTTTTGTTGTATGATTCTGTGTCAAGCCAGAATGTCACCATTTTTTACCACTTTCTAAGTTCTCTCTAAGCTAGATCATACCTTCCCAGTTTTCGTCTACTGATACGTGAAGAAATCTGAATGGTATCACTGTTGGTCTTTGTCCAAGAATGAGATTTGCTAACTCCCAAGCTATGTTGCAAGATGACGAAAGCACATGGGATGTGCTTAGTGATTGCAGACGGCATAGAATCTGCTTGCTGACACTGGTGAACATCATTTTCATTGTCAGTGTTATGCAGTGAATCAGAAATCAGGACCCAGTGCCAGTCTAGCTGGTACAATTGCACTTTACTACTTTGGATGGTCAAAATAGTATCACCATGCTAAAGAGGTTGTAGCATCTGCACAGTGAAGGCTTCCATAGTATGTTCCAGAACCAGGCTGAAATGATGCAGGTATTGCTTTATTCTGGAGCTATAAAGAACCTCAGTACAATACTGTTTAGACAAAGCCTTTGCCTACAGTGTCACCACTCACAGATGTAACTGTACTAATATCACTCTGTTATGGCTTTTTGTGGCAAGACTCTTTATGGCTGAAATATTACTATGTTCAAAAATTAGAAGTCCAGTGTATGTTTAAGATCAGTGAAAACAAGAGATCTTCCTGAAGGCTTTGTCAGAAGCCAGATGATGAGGAGACTCAATTCAGGACAAATAATTTAAAACATGTTCAGCAAATGCTTGCTAGTATGGACAAGACAAATAATGCTAGTACAAACAGTAAAACCAAAACTTCCACAGAAAGTGAGCTTTGGCTCCTGTATGCTGTATTTTGCATTCATAAAAATTAGAGAAATTTTGAAGTATTTTTAATTTCCTCTTGGTAGAAATGCTGCTAGAAATGACATTTTTATTGCTTAGCTGCGTTGTGACACCCCCACAGGAACGATAAAGCTTCAGAAAAGCTAAAAAAGAATCCTGCATATAATTCTTCTTGAAAGTAGATATCACATTTTAAGAATGTACAATTAAAGCTTTCATCTCAGAGGTTCAATAAGCATAATCATTTAAAAAAAAAAAAAAGCACTAAAGAAAAAACACAGAAAACCCCCACCAATAGGATCGACAAAATAAAATACAGTATTTCTGGCTCTAAAGAAGTGGTAATATCTTGCTAAAAAAAATATAGGTGCTAAGTGCTTCAGATTTCCTGTAAATGTGGTAATGAGATTGCATTGTTTTTCAGAATTTCAGCCTTTTTTTTACTGAAATAACATAAATCATCAACTGCTTTTTATTGTAAATAAATTTTTCAGATTATATTTCATGACTATTTTACATTTTCATCTGTTGTCAAAGCAGTGGCTTAATAAGAAACAGCTTTGGTAAGCACCTGTATTCTTTGAAACTGCACAGTTACCCAACCCAAAAGCTTATTGCCAGTAATCCTGCTTTAATCAGAACTCTGACTGCCTATAGCGAAAGCATTTAGGATTTGCAAATAGCGGCAGAGATCTCACTTGGAAAGGTTCTTCTACAAGGTCCAAATAACCTCATGATGTTAAAATTATCTTTACAACCATGGCACCTTACTCCTGCATGTGATAATAGCTTTATTAATCAGCATTCCACAAGGTTCAGGCATTGCCTTTAACACATATTATGTGCACATTAACTTCGGTTGCCCGAACCATAAGTTAACTCAAACTCAGAGTGCTTACTGAAGGAGCGTTGTCTACAAGCTGCAGACAAATTGCTTTAGTTTGTGCAGCATCTTTCATAGGAAGTGCAAAATCAATTATTAACACAACATTTTTATGTTAATTTATCTTAAAGCACAGGGTAATCATAGAATGGGAACACAGAAATTAAAAATCCATGATCTTCTTTTCCCATTTTCTTCCACTGGTTTCCCTTCCTTCTGAAGGAGTGGGTGCTTATGTCATTATGTGCCTGTTTCCACACAGCAAATTGTCCTCCCTTCATGTCTTTCAAAATCTTAACTGGTTTTAACAAAAGTTTAAGTATAGTATCAGTCTCAAAGGCATTCAGTTTGTTCATACTTTTTGCAAAATTTGGAGATGGATCAGAATAGATAGTCTTTGACTACCTCTCATGCCTGTTGAAGGTAACTTTCACTTCTCATTAGTCAGAGGAGGTACACTGTCCTTTGCCTGTCTCTTCTGCCCAGTGCACCTGTAGAATCCCTTCTTGTTATTTTTTCACACCCTTCACGAAGTCCAGTTCCATATAGGGGCTTTTGTATGTGAATACACAGCATGGAGTCCACACCTCAGTGGAGGGTAAAAAACCTTACCAACTATTTTCTTAAACTTTTACTAAAACTCAGGTAAAATATTAGGTATCATTAAATGTATTTTGAAGTAGGCTCTAGAAGTTCTACTCATCAAGGAGATATTATCTAAAAATCTCCAGATATTTTGACAGATCATATCATTTGGGGAGCCTTGTCTCACATGCCCTTGAGTTTCCTGATTCAGAAGTGGTCATTGAGCTAGGCTGATCACACATGGGGTTTTACTTTCAAAACTAATACAGATTTGTGAAGTGGAAACACAACTCTCTTGCCAAACATATAACTGCTGCGTCTTAAATTTTTAAGTGGAAAGAAGACCTGGAAAATTGTTATGCAAAATAATTTGTTCTCACTCTTTTTTAATGGGCTGAGCGAGAGTGGCATACATTCTGAAAGCAACGTCTGTATTTTACATTTAATTTCACTCATCTGTCTTTCTTCATTCTCAGATTCAAGGATTCAACGTGGAAAATGGCCAGTTTTCCTATGCCAGCGACTGTACAGGTTTCTTCAGTCCTGCAATCTGGATGGGCTTGGTAACATCTATAATTTTACTGTGGATCCTGACCTATGGAATCCATATGATCATGCAGCTCACAACAAACAGCAGATTTGATGATCCCAAAGGTCCAGCTCTGTCAGTTCCTCAGACAGAATAGCTATGGATTTATTTAATGCTGCTTCAGCTTTTCCTGGGTTGATATTTATGATTTTTGTAAGCCTCCTACTGTATGACATGTGTAACTAAAAAGTCATTGCAGAAAAGGATAATCAAACGACATATTAAAAGGATACTTATGGTTAGCAATAATAATAATAATAATACTTGTTATTAACTTTCATTTTTTTAATAATGTTCATTATTAAGGTCTAAGGTGAGGTTGTCAAGATTATTACTCTAGCTATTAAAAAGACCAGAACAAGCTGCCTTCAGATTAAATATTTTTGGCAAAGAAAGACTATCAAAACAGAGAGAAATGAGAAGGATTTATAAATAACTAATTCAATAAGAAACTGAAATATTATCATACTAAGTATGATTAAATGTGCCAGTGCAGATGGAAATAATGTAATTTTCTTAGACTTCTTCCTTTGCCAGGTATCTTTGGAGTAGTTCTGAAGGTTGTACAAAAAATGGGAAAAAAGGTAGTGGTACTGTACAGTTTAAGTCTGAATGTGTTCATGGTCATCTCACTGCTTCCAGAAGCCTGATAGAGCTCAGTGTGATTAATTCTTTTGCAATTAATTAATAAAGAGACTACAACTTCTCACTGATCAATCTGAATGTGGTGGGAATTGCTAAATATTATGGGACAGTAAATGGTAAAATGGTGAAAAAAGGTAAAATAGTATTAATTCTTTTGTTAGAAATGTATTTTTAAGACTGTACATGTTCTGTTACTAGATAAAGAACAAAAAGATACAATTTAGCAAAGTTATATTTGCCACATGAGAATTTTTTTTTTTTTTTAATCTTTGTCCATCTCATAGGACAGAGATTAAGAGGAAAGATGGTTAAAATCAGCTATTTAACTAAACCACTAATAGTTTATACTCATCATTTCTGGATGCTACATTTTTGCTTTGAAGCCAGTGAAGTAAGTTAAATGCTCTCTGAAGCTATTCCTTCTTAATCATTCAGTCCTGACTTGGAAGACAAAAAGAAGACTGGTGTGTAACTAGGAAAAGTGACTCCACTGCTGTAGTATTTTCCCCAGATGTTTTTTAAAACCTTGAGAAATGCTGGCATTTGATCTGCACAAAAATGCGTTAGACAGGCACTGTGCAAAATAAGTTGGCAGAAGAGATAACTGGACTTCATTAATCCCCTCTTTGAAGAATGAGTCTTCCTTGAAAATTGACGTAATAGTCATGAAACTGATAGCTAGAACAAAGGGCATTACAAGGGACTTGGTTTGGAGAAGACAGCTTTCCTATGACTCTTCTCTAGATTCACCAAAGTTTAAAATAGATTTTGTTCACTGGTGATGGGGTGTGAGAACTGAAGGACAGCTGTACAAGGCCACAGGGGGCGGGGGAAACCCTTGCAGCTGTATTTTATGCTGCCCTGCAGCCATGGACAGCAACAAGACTCCGATTTCAGCAGGGCTAGGCCTCAAGAACTTGTAGCAGGATTTTGCACCTGCCTGTGTTTGCCTACTTTGCCGAATAAAGTTAGAAAGCTGCCAAGGGCCTCTCAGTTCTGTGTTCTTCTATTTTCGCAGTTGAGCTTAATCACAGGTACACTTGTTAAAACACGCCTGCTTCAGGAACAGTTCCAGCGAGAACATTAACTGTGTCTGGAAGGTGTGAGCCTTCGTGACTTACCCTGGAGCTCATTGAAGTTATCAGAGGTGTTTCCAAAGACTTCTGTGAGTGCCAGCTCATTCTCTACGGAGTACAAAATAATGAAGAGGGGAGGGTGGCAAAGAGCACGGCTGAAAAAAAAAAACACAACAAAAACATAAATAAATGAAACTTTATTGACAGTTTCTGATTTTTTTTTCCTCAAAAACAAAACAAAACCACCCAAAACCTATAGTACAACTTGAGAAAAAAAATGATTTATCTATGAGAAGTCAAGAAGGTTAAAACAAGAGAAAAACCGAGCTGAAACATGAAAGTATTGAAGCCATAAGATATTTAAAGCATTTTGTGTCAAAACTCAGCAATGATCTCTTGTTGGAGGGGAAAGCAGAGATGGAACTACATTCTGAGTCAGAACAGTTCTGACTCCTGTTCATGCTGTGGGTACTGCCTTGCTGTACTGGTTTCTCTACTTGTAAAATGGCTTCTTTCACAAACTATGTGGAAACCCATAAATGATTTGCAGTGAAACAGAGTATAATGGAAACACTCTAAGAGTAGTATTTGTATGTAGACCATAGAGGAAATTAAGTCATTCCATCTGCGAAGGCAAGACTCGATTAATTAATTGATTCCTCTCTTTCTTCTGGGAACCTGGTAGATAATTAATTTGCAAACATGTATCAGCTGAATTAGGGAGCGTCTGGAAATTAGAGAGCTTCCTAATACTTTCAACATAAGCTATAGAGAAACAAAAACAACAGAGGAAATAACCTAAGATACAAGAGGAAGTTTGAGTATTGGATATTGGTCACTGCTGGCAGAATGTCTCAGCATGTGGTGATGATTGTAGGAGCAAGAATAGTGACAATCTCCTTGTGTTGCCCAAGGGAAGCAGATAATATGCACTTAGCCAAGAGGGCAGGAAGTTTTTCTCCTGCACACTGTTGTTTCTGCTGCATCTTGGGGTGAGTAGACTGTGGCCAAATGTCAGAAGCCAATACAGCTGCTTTCTTACTGCTTGTCCTTAGTAGGCCGGGGGGAAAACAGGGTGGAAAAGATAATTGGTCAAGATGAAGACATAGAAGTCACTTAACTAGTCACTGTCATGGGCAAAAACAGACTTGGAAAATTAATTTATTTGCCTTTTGAAATAGTAGGATAGTGAGAAACAAAACACTTTCAGTTGGCTCAAAATAATTATGCCAAAATATCTTAATAATCTTTGAGTAAAGGGAACCAGTCTTACTCTTTTTGCTAGTAAATGTTCTCTCAGATTAGTTTGTTCCCTACCAAAATTTAGCAGTCTAAAATAAAAGAAGAAAGAACTGTTTCTTTAGAACTCAGATTTCTAAAAGCTTAAAAAAAATGTTGAAGTGTAGGGGGAAAAAAAAAAAAAAAAAAAGAAAAAAAAGAACCAAGATCTTGCCAAGGGGTGGTTCCCTAAGTAACTAGTCTCTCACTTCCAGAATGTGGGTCAGTGTCTTTCCTAGTCTTCCTACCTGTGTGGGTGGAAGGAAGGCTTATTGTGGTGACTGAAAGACAGGAGTGTATCACCTGCTAAAGATGTACCATAAGTGAAGAAGCTGCCTGTTCTTCATCACGACTTTTTGTACACCTTCTGATTCAACGAAGATTGCTTGCTCTAGATTAGCTGGATTTCTCTATACCCCTGGACCTGGTATGTTCTTGAATTATTATAATTGAACTTAATTTTAGACTGTTTTATATATAATTTATTACTATCATGAATGAATGAACATATCTTTTCAGCTTTGCAGATGGCAATGTGGGTGTGAAACTCATTTCCAGTCTTAGTATTCCTGTAACTAGTTGTGTAGACATCACATAGAATGAAGGACAGTGGCCATGATGTCATATGCAGTTTTCGTTAGTTATTGAAAACTGTGCAATAATGGTGTTTTAAATGTTGGGAAAAAAAAATCATAAACGTTCCTTTGGAGGATGGATGTGTTAAGGACATGCTGATGTAATGTTAAAATTGTAATTTTATATTTCATATTTATCCCAGATAAATATGGATTCATATATATAGTGAAGTGATAATTCTGCCAATTAATAAACATCATTCACTGGAGCATACTGACATGATTTGAGATGTTACTCTCCTTGTTTTTCATCCATCTGTAACTGTGCTTCAGCTGTTCATTCAGATCACACTGCTGTGCTCTCTTTTCCACCAAGGAGGTAATATATCATTTTGCACAAGAATAGATGAGACGCAGGTGCCTGTCTGGGTCTGTCATTCTTGCAGCTGAGTAATAAAATTCTGGCTGTGGAGCAAAGCAGATAGCTGCAAACATTGATGTCTTCACACATTACATTGATATTGGTGAAGGATTTTTGTCATACTTGTCGAAAGGGGAAACCAAAGCAGCCAGGTGACTTGTCAGGGTGAGGGACCACACTGCAGGCAGCCTGAGAGGCTATTCTGGGCGCTGTTTTCTGTCACTGCCTGCCTGAACGCAGTGCAGCTGACCACACATATGGGGGCGGTGTCAGGAATGCTCTTGTATCCAGCTGCATAGACCCAAAGCTGGAGATACATAGAAGGCCCTTGGTCCAGGTTTGGCCTGGACCTCTCTATGTCTTCACGTTGCAGTTGAATGAAAATGTCCCAACCTTTCAATGGTCTCAACCCTTATCTTTAACAAAAGGAGGAAATGTAGAAGACTACGGGCCCTCCCGTTTTCCTCGAAAGACTGAGTTGAAGTCCTTACCCATTCAATGGGCCGCCAGTCCCACACCCCAATGGACAAGCACAGGTGGCTATGAAGGGCCTGCAGCTGCAGGTGAGGGCGTGCGTGCCTGTGTGATGCTGGGCTACCTCAGAAGGCTCCCAAGTCTTCAGTATTGGCTTCCAGAGCTGCAGCCAGGGTTGCCTGCAGGCTGAGGCCAGAGCCTGTGCCTCGGCAGGCCTCCAGGAGCCCGAGGTGCCTGAAAGGGAGATGGCAGTGGGAACCCTGCCCAGGGTGTTCTGCATTTGTCTTACCACATGCGTGAAGCAACAGAATTGGTCCCCAGAGGGTTTGAACAGGCAGTTGAATTTTGAATGGAGAAGTGGCTTTATCTTTTTATCTTTTGAATGGAGAAATGGCTTTATCTATCTCTTTGTAACTAGCTTGTATTACAATTAGAGAACAGATGGTCTGCTTTTTCTTGCGCAGCTTTTGCGGATATATTCTTATATGGCAAGGGTGGCACAGTTGAATGATGTTTCATTCATTGATTTAGATTTTCACAGAAGTTTTTGGGGGTGTACTGGCTGATTTTGTTGCCAAAATTTAAAACCTTAATGGCTTACTGCTGCCAGCTTGCATGGTCTAGTGGTGATGTCTGGGTATCTAAATGGAGAGGAAGAACACCAGGCCTTGCTTTTGCTTGCCTTAAATAGCACAACAATGATTTATTGACTGTGTGGGGGAAACCAGGGTTTGTTCGTGTTCTGACATAATTTTAACCCATTTCTGCTATAATAGCTTTTATAGTACTCTTTGAAGTTCAAGGGGGCAGAAAGGGCTTAGTGGTCATAGATTGTCAGGCTAAGCATGCTTCTGGCAGCTGTGAAAGGACTTAAAGATTAACCAGTAGTTTTCTGAGTTGTAATATTTGAAAAATAAAGTTAGCATCAAAGACTTAAATGAGATGGCATATTGCATATGAACAGCCACCTTCTGTTTGTTGTGAAATTCTTGGTTAGCACATGAGCTGGTTACTTTTACCACTTCCCCTTATCAGAAAGGTGAAGGATCTTTCAGGATGTCATTGTTTTCATCTGGAATAGCCAAAGGTTTCACTCCAAAGATTCAGTAAGAAAGATTGCACGTTACTCATTAAGTCTGCATCTTGTCTAATCAGCAGTGTCTGTGCCTCCTACAAACCCAGGACCAGACTCAGCTGCTGCGCAGTGACTTATTCCAAAAGCTATTTATGGTGAGACTATTGCTGTATATGCAAATTTAATCAAAAATTATAGCTCAGGTGTTCCTCTTTGATACTTTAATATACTGGGCCTCCCATCTCAAAGTGAACCACACAGAGCTGCAACTGCAATATAATCGGTGCTTCACCTTTTGTACCCTTTGTTAAGAAAGGGAAAGGAGCTCTCGCAGCAGAGGAAATATCTGTTGTTAGTGTCCCAAGTGAAATCATTTTATTATTGTCATAAATTATTATATTTTTAGTGCATTTGGAAGATTGCACTAAAGGTCTCTTCCCTCTGAACAAAACATCTAATGCTAAACAATCATTTATTAGACCCTTATAATGCTGTTAAGGAATATAGCGACCTTGCTTTAGTGGCAGTGCTGTGGTCACTTAATACCCGATACTAATGCATGCTTCTCATACAGATAGGGTCTCCAAATCAAAATGGACTAATGAAAGTTGCTTCAACTACATGGAAAGACAGCAGCTTTCTGATTGAATGTATTGACTGACTTTATTTATTGTTGTGCTACAGCTGTAAGAAATTATTCTGTTAACCTCTGTGTCTCAAAGCTTGCTGGGGACACAGATAGACTTGTTCAAGTCCCAAGCAAGGACTGTGAAATCCTTTGAAGGACACAGGTGAACAAGTCCAGGCAAGTCCTGGGCAAAGGTTGTGAGATCCTTTGTCTGGGCGAGGCAGATGGGCAAGGCCAGGGGCAACGAGAGCGAGATGAGCTGCAGCTAAATAGCTGTGAAGTGCTCCTTTGTGTGGACCTATCTCCGGATGATGGCCATCTCAGGGGGTGCTCAATGACTCTTGCTCAAGGCCCATCCTTGTCACGTAGGCAGGAGAACAAGGAGGATAAAAGAGGAACTGAAAACCATGAGGATAGGTTTCTGACAACAGATTTCTCATGAAGAACGGAGGTTTTCTGGCGGCAGATTCCTCATGAAGAAGAACAGAGGTTTCTGGCAACAGTTTCCTCATGAAGAAGAGGAGGGATTCCTGAAGATTGAGGCGATTCCTGCATACTGTTGAACTCTCCTGAGCTTGCTGCCTGACCGCTGTTGCTGCTTCAAGAATTGGCTCCTCGACTTCCTCGTCTACCTGCTTTCTGTCCAAGGCCGGCCACGCTGCTTCTCGCCCCGTCCCCTGCTGCGTCTGCCTGGGACCTTTAAACGCCGTGCAACGGGACCGCTGCTGGATGCTACTGGTGACTATCCCCGCTTTACGCAACTCCTGCTTCTTTTCCATCTTTTCTATCGCCCTCCTTCCCTTCCCCGTCTCCCTGATTAGGTTTGGTAATAAACTGGATGGAACAACATATGAACCGTTGTTTCTTAATCTCACGCCGGGTATACAGATATTAAAGAACCTCATCTCCCTCCTATAAATTGGAGCGAGACAACAGCATTGTGTGAAATTGTCTATTAAGTGAAGAACACAGCTTATACGTCAGATAACACAGGCTGCATAGGGCATGCAGTCTGACAAAAACAATGAAATTAGCACTTTTCCTCCACCTCCTGAAGGACTAATGTGCAGAATGTTCAGATTAACATCTCCCTGTTCTGCAGTGTGGGAGCATCACCTTCTTGAGACATTGCTGTACAGTACTACTCAGCAGTTCGGCCACTTGGTCTGGTGATCCCATTGACTGAGTCTGGCTTTGTTTAGTGTGATCGCTCCTAGCCAAAGACTGGAATCTCCAGGATCATGCTGCAAGGGCTGGAGGTCTTCTGTCACTGAATTTTCCAAAAATTCAGTTTTTGGAAGTTTACACAAGCAATCCAAAACTTACATCTG